GCCTAAAATTGGAATTTATGATTTACGTCTATCGTCATCAGGTATTCCACGTAAAGCAGTCAAATGCTCTCGATTCACAACATCGAATTCTGTTTCACTTCATTATCTTCATTCGACTGTTCCCTTCGTTTTTGTTTGTGTGCGATTGGTACAAATTAATGTGGTTGTCAAAATTATCAATCTTTTGCAATGAAGAGACTGATCATAACTAAACGATGATCTTTGCATTTGTGTCCCTTGGAATTGTACAAATCGGTAAATGATCTTTATTGTTGTTGAGCAATTTTCAGCTGACAGTTGTGGACCACCGTTGTATGGGCACATTTGTTGTCGTATTGTTGCACAGCCAAACTCGGTTGTGATGCCTCTCTCGGAGGGTGTACTCACCGTGAGTTCACTCGATGAAGATCGATGCTATGAGGGTGTTCGATGTCGTCTTCAGGTTTCCGCTTCATTTCTGTTTGCGATTCGATGTGCTCATTCGCACTTCTCGTAATTTCTTTATTTTATCAGTTTGAGTCGGCAAGTGATCATCGCTACTTGTTCATACTTACCCAACAAATCGCTACTTCCAGGCAGGTGTACTGAGTTGTTGCTCGCCGTCTTCAGTATGTAATTCTCGTAACGATCAACCTCTGTTGAATGTTTGCTTCAGCAAGGTTATTAATTGATCCGCCGCTGTTTGTTTTTTGTTTACCACTTATCACGTTCTTTTTCATCCATCGAACTGAATTCCGTTCAGACTTGAAAATGTGCGATTTTTTTCGATGGATTATTCAATAATCCAAGTCAAAGTTGTTGTGGGACTCCTTGGGGGTCACCGGGGATAAAGCTGAGGTATTAATTTATTTTAGAAATAGTTTAGAAATATTAATTTAAAAATATCGACACACACAAAAACGCGGATAATAGATCAGTAATTCCCTTATCTACCTCACTATCAGTCTGGATTACATAAGCCTTCTTAATCACGCATTATTATGCGTTCAAAAAATTGAAGCATTGAAATTCAATTGGTCCCAAAAATTCCCGATAAAGAAAGCTGTCAGGATGTGACTTCGCACTGCAGAATGCAGTTCGCTGATCAGCCTTCGATAATTTTCTTTGAAAAATATTCAGAATTCAAAAATTTTGTCGAGTCGTTACGCGAAGAGTTTAATCGTAACGTCAGACCGACATGTACCCAATGGAAGGCATCAGAAACACTATTTGCTAATAGCCGATAGTGAGGAGGATATCGCTGCTTGGAGACATGCGTTCAGTTTGCAGATTTCCGATTGTGGTACTTTTTTTGTTTGCACTTTTTGACGATCCTTTTCTCTGTTGCAAGTGCACGATGTTTGTTTCGATTGTTCAAAGTAAAAAGCAAATAGCTTATTTTTGGTTCAGTTAACAAATGACTGAAACGAGACAAGCGATTGATTTGAAAATTGAAGTGAATGAAAGATGAATGTTTCAGAAAGATGGGGTGAATTTGCAATTTGTCCAGTGAAGCTGACAAGTGAGCCACGGGCAACAGAACCAGCTACACTAAGCAGGGCAAATGGCAGACGACTTTATGATGAGATACAAATAAACGATGGTCAGTGGAACGGTTTCACTGCTTTCCTTACTGATATGATGCAAAGAATGTTGAACTGATCAACTCACATCTAAAGTGAATGAAAATTCTGAAGTGAATCTAATAGTTTTGTAGTCGTCAACATAAGTCGATCTGAAGAAGTGATATCACTAGTGAAATACACACAATGTGTAGTGCTAGAATGAGGTTCAGGCTTACGTCTAGAATTTGGTCATGTAAACATACAATTGCAAGCGTTCATGAGATCAAGTTTACAAACAACCTCAATTTTCTGAAACGACGAAAGAAATTTCCTTCGTGTTCCCAAGAAGAGTGCGTTCGTTGGCAGAGATATTCATTATAACAATTCAAGTAGAATTGGCAGTTATGATTGGTGAATGCGTTTGAGTAGTTGACTCATTACTGAGGGTTTAATTAACAGATATACGTTTCGATTGTATTTCGAGAGTGATATCTCTGTTTCTCTCACCTCACAGAGAGAACCTGCCTCTCATAAAATTCAGTTGCATATATGGTTTGCAGTGAACGTTTGATGGGTATCTCTGGTTCTTCTGCATCCAACGAGAAAATCTTTCGCCTTTTACTAAAGATTTCCGTGCAGAAGAACATTCATGAGTTAACTCTAATTTTTGGAGTCCCGACTTCGGTCAGGGACAATTTGAATTGAAGAATGGGGCAGCGAGCATGACAGTGTTCGTAATCAGGTCTATAATAGTATTGATGGAAATTGCTCATTATAGAGAAGTACACGACGAATACGGTTCGTGAGGCATGCAGTCCATATCGATATCTACCTGAACCATCCACTTACGCAACATTCACACAAGCATCTTCAGCCGCATTCGTTCCTCAGACTGCACCTTCGGGACGACGAAAGACTCGAACACCTGTTCAATCCCTTTTCCAGGTTATTCCTTCCGTCGAATAGTCGTTGTACTCTGCTGGGAAGTGTTTTAATAATGACATTAAGGTTTCGAACGTAACATAAGAACTCATTGTACCATCCATCTTATCTTATCTTTCTTATTGCTTTGTTTTTCAAAATCAATCATTGCTTAATTTAAGCCAGCTGCTGATGGTGAACCGAGATATGTGATTAATTTACCTGTTGGCGATGTTAACACCACTGCACCGACGTCAAATTATACTGCACCGACATCCAATTATACTGCACCGACATCCAATTATACTGCACCGACATCGAATTATTATTGTGAGTGGTCCTTTCATTGCTGAGCGCATTCTTTTAACATATCAATCACGAGTCTACGTATCGCAACGTCACCGCACGTGGCGAGCTAGCTGTGAATGCTGCATTCATGTGCTCGTTGATCGTATTCTCCTGTTTGCTCACCTGCTAATCGTAAAACAATTGCGTTGTGTTTTCAGACGACTCAACTGCATCGAACCCGCCGCCATCGAATGGCGACTATTTAGATGGATGGCGAAGGAACCCATTCCAAGTGAGTTTCAAGAAGTTTAGTTCGTTGATCCACTTCAAAGCGTCGTTTCGATTACAATCGTTCATAACATCATCATCAACATTCCTCCAGAAATGTTGCACAAAATCCTCTAGAAAATCCTGCTGCAGGATTTTCTATTCTCATCACACATTGAATTNTGATACTTTCTCAACATGTTCTCTGCAAGATTAACAGATTTTTAACAGAAATCGTTGTCTCGTCTCATAACGACTCTCAAAGAATATTTTTCAGCATGATTCAACAAATGATTATTCACGTGAAAGTGGTCGTTTTAAAGGGATACGTAAGAGTATGCAGCGATCATTTGGTGCACTATTGAATCATCGGAAAGGATCTGTTGAAATTTCTCGTTTTTGATCTTTCCTCTCGTTTCGTTCTTTTCTTATTCGTTATTCTCAGTTTTTGTGTCTTATTGTTATGAATCACAAATAGCTGTAGATGTTTGGGCATTAGTTGCTCAATGAATCGAAAATTTATTCCGAGAGGTTGGTTTTATTGATAGTCATCGAAACAAAATACCCGTTCGTTTGATCGATTCTAAACAATTTGTCAATGAAAATGAGCGATTCGAGAGTTTAAGGAAAAATATCGCACTGCACACATTTAGAATAGCGACTTTCGAAATTTGTTCAAATATTCCATGATCTGCGTATGATAGATTGGCGCAGATTTGTTTATTTCAAAGCTAATTTTATGGTCAAAAATTTTCATAAATGCATTCTGAACCATGATTTTTCAAAGAATTGCATGGAATGAAGTGAATTCTCTGACGATGAGTGTTTCTGCCTAACGATAAGTTTTCAGTAAACACTAACCCTTCGACACATTAATTCATTTCTTAATTTGTACGATTCGATTCATCGACCTTTCTTAATTTGTTCGTCGACATACAATCAATCACTGAATAGCTCATTACGATTACTCATCTCATATCATGTTATCGAATGCTGGGCATTGTTGTTACTGTTGAATCATTTGCTCGTCTTTTCGTTCAATGTTCAATT